ATCTGTACATTGTTTTCAAAGAGTACACCTGAGTGTCAACTTTTAATATGAAATTGTTTTGAAGTTCCTTGTGTATAGTCTGCCCATGGGGAGATACAGGTACACACACTCTGGGAGCATATGGATGGGGTCTGGTTTTGTAGATGAGTATCGCTTTCTCTTATCTGGACTTTGTTTCTCACAGCAGCAAAGACGGGTGCATCTGGTTGTGTGTGTGGAGAGGTTAGTAAATAGTGGTCTGACCTAGAAAAACTATTGGAATATGAAAATTGACAAAGCCTCATACTGTACCTCTCTGACAGAAAACCAGCATAAACTATACACTGACCTTAACAATATACTTGGAACTGGCCAGAACAGACAATTAAACCTTTCTAAAATGCAATGATGCACATAAACTGGAGACCAGATGATGTTTTAATCTGCTCTTAAATTTCTGCATCAATGATGCGTGGTGACAGCTGACATTTGTTTTGCTTTGCTCTGATCCAGACAAACACTTTATAATCCAGTTATCCACTCCAAGGTTATACACAAATGTCCCTGTTCCCTGTGCATTGTGTGGGGTTAAGAAAATGATCTGATCCTTTCTAAAAGGACTTACATTTTTTGAGAATCGGTTAATATCAGTTATACAACTGAAACAACAACAAACCCTCAACGTCTCAATGAAAACTGTTTTATTCCTGTCAGACACAACAGTTATTTGTTAAGGAGTATGTATTGAACACAACTCTGAAAGCTGAATATTCAATATAATGTGGACATGTTGCTTTGTAATCAGTCTAGAAAAGACAGGCCCGACACATTACCAGGTTTAAAGGAATGTTCTACTCTGACAGGACGAAAAAACTAAATTATTTCAGTCTTGTGGGGGTCAGGAACAAGCTATCAACCATGCTGTTAAAGTTTATATCATGGCTTCTTTCACGAAATAGCTTAGTGGGATACATGGATCAAGCAAAGAAATGAACTAGATTAGCAGACTGGGCTCCACTAATTTGTTCATGTTTCTTCAGATTTTTTTTTACATGAGTTAAGAGAGTGTTAAAGGTGAAAAAACAGGTAACTGAAAGACAAAGAATGTTAGGGAGCTTATTATCTTAGGCTCATGCGTTAAGGCCACCAATACTCTGGTTATGTTTCTGCACTTAAATGTCATTGGCTTCTGGGTAAATTGGCCCTGGAATGAGTGTGTGTGCAATAGACTAGTATCTCATCTACAGTGTATACTGGTATCCACTCAGACAGATCCCCAATAACCATGTATAGGATAAAGCAGTTTGAAAATGGATAGATGGATACACGGAATTAAATTTGAAAAAATGATTATATCCATTAAGGGGTCAAGTATGATAAATAGCCCTGCATTACAAGGGTTAAATATATAATATAATAAAGTATGGTGATATAAAATATCACCATTAATATGTTTAATGAGAGTTTCTGTTTTCAGAATTCTATTTTTCATTCCAGGTAGCCAACACAGGATTTACTTTTGCAATGAGACATACTGTATATGTGCACCTCTTGGTGGAGAAATACTGACATAAACTAGCAAACAAAAATGTATTTGTCTGAAGATCAAAACTTATTTCCCATGTGTATTCCAGAAATATGAAATTTCAAAGACAATAACATTTACCATTAATCTAATATAGACAAGGAAAGGATGTTCCCCCGTGAATAATTAATATGATCCTGTTCACTAAGGCAGAGCATATACATATAAAATAACTGTATATTAAATGAAGCAGAAAAAAAAGAGAACTGAAACAATATACCATATCCAGTAGTCAAAAGCACTGGAGACATACAGTATTATTTCAACATATCATACATCTGTCAAGTATAACCTTGACAAATGTATGTATCCAGAAATGATTAGCTTAAAATCCAGAAAACTGAAGCAATATGAAAAACGATGTAGTAAAAACTGTCTAAGTTTGAAGCACTCATACAATGAAAGACTGGGTCACATACTTGTCTATGTAGTATAAGATTAAGACAGACTTTTAAGAAAGAAATCCTAAAGCAAACATTGACAGGTGAGTATTTGATATCGTTTTGATTGATTCTTGTGATGACATTTACATATTCAAATATCTCTGACTTCTAGCTACCTTGTCTCAAAAATTAGTTTTTCTGACTCTCTTGAGCATATAATTAGTCAAAATAGAGATGTACAACATTGATGAACCTACAACAGGAGTAAATCTGTCTTTAGACACTATATTTTGCCTAATTCATTAACTATAGAAATCATTTTGCGAATTGTGTTTTTGATCAGTTCAAAGATAAAGCTTATTATGTTGCCTGCACTATCCTCCTAAAATCACTGGGACAACCCTCTGTCCACTGATTTTTTGTTTAGATTATATTTTTACAGTAATTGTGATTGTCCAGAGGTATATAAAGGTAACTGACACTTTGTTTCTCTTAGTTACTACTACCAGAGAAGTCTGCAGATCAAAACAAATGGCATGCAATAATATCTCTAAAAATATATTTACTTTTCTGCGTAGTCCGCCATGAAGAATATCACAGTAGATACAGTAGAACATGCCACACTGTGGCACCTTAAACAGGCGGGCCAAAAGCTAACAGCAACGTCAGTATGTACAAGACAGCAAAAATATCAGGATAAAGAAAACTGTCCCAGGTCACAGGCACCAACTCTGGTTGCTTCACAGCTGAAGGAAAACAAATTGTGGGTGTCAATAGGCCACACTGTTTTTATTATTATTCTTAAACCTACTAAACAAGTAACAGGTCTATAAATTTTGTCTGAAAGTGTCATTTTAAATTGGGACTAGTAGGGGAAAAGAGCCTTAAGCATCTACAGTATATCACCCTGCAACTCACAATTGGCAACTCTCTGAAACTGAGCAGGTGTGAGTCTGGCCAGTAGCTGGATGGGACACCTCCTGTTAAAGCTGAGGTTAATGGGACCAGTAAGTAGCACTCACCCTGAAGTCTGTGTGGGTCCTAATGCCTGACAATAGTAATGGGGACTCTATACTGTAAAAAATGCCCTGTCCTTCGGGAGAGACATAAAACCAAGGTCCTGACTCTTTAAAAATCCCAGGGTATTTCTTGAAAAGAGTAGGGGTGTTAACCTCCATGTCCTGGCCACATTTCCCTCTGGCCCTTATTAATCATGGCCTCCTAATAACTCCCATCTATAAATTGGCTTCATTTCTCTATTCTCCTTCTCACTGATAGCTGATGTGTGGTGAGCTGATGTGTGGTGATGTGCTTTGGTTGCTGTTACTTTATCCAGATTGGGGCTACAAATTGGTAGTGGTGGAAAACAGTCTTCATTAGGTGTAAAGTGCTTGGAGTTGCAGAAAAGTGCTATATAAGTGTAATTGTTGTTGCTGTTATGAGCTTAAAGTAGCACACCGAAGGTGCTGTCATTACCTGTGCAAAACAGCATGGAGATTTTTGTGTACAGAATTAAAAGAACATACTCTTAAAGCATTGAAAGTGTAAACACATTTGCATTTGAATAAAAATAATTACATTAAAAACTGGCATAAAAGTGTGTTAATATAAATCTAAAAACAACTGAAGTAATGTTTCCAAAGATGACAGAAATATAATTGATTTAGAATTCATCAATTTTTATTTATATTTGGTTTAACTGAAATAATCAGCTGAAAAGATACAGAACTTGAAACAGATATCTAAATATGTATCTGCCATTCTGTCTCTGACAAAATAATGATCTGTGAATAAATAAATGGACCCCACACACAAATATCCAAAACCACCCAAAGCAGCAAGGGACTACTTATGCTAGAAACACCAAAAAGAGAAAACAAAATTGCAAGAATATCCAAGGCTACGTTCACTGAAAACTGAATTTAAGGGTCTCTTTTTTTAGAAAAAAAAGTCACTGAAAGAAATCTCCATTTCCAACATACCCAGATTTTTCTCAAGCCACTGGTGTCCTTCCAACAGCTGGTCAATCATAGCGAAGTAATGTGTGCTGGCTTCATCAGGCATGACCCACCCACCTGCTGCGATTTCCAGCTGGCCACCTTCAATTAAACTGCAAGAGAAAGAAAGCAAATGTTCAAAGAAATACTGTAAATACAGTGCATTATATTGTCTACAGTTCATTAAATTCTAAACAGTTCTGTATACAATTCTGTATTATCTCTATGTCTCTTCTGTTATTCTAAAATATTTTGTGTTTTCCATATTTCTGATTATTAAACAAAAAAAATCTTGTCAACAATGTTGTCCGAGACATTTTTTACATGTATTTTACTTATTGTTATTGACCATCAGCATTTGAACAGAAAGAACAAGGTATTCCCAATAAAAAAACACACAAGTTCATTATTCAGAATTCCTGGTAAGAGTTATGGCAATCTGAAATTATTCCCAAAAGCACAGGTTGCGAGGAATGACTACATGCTCGGCAGGGCACCAGTCCATTTCAGTAGAGCTGAGTAATTAAATAAAGCTAGATTAAAATAAGACAATTGGTCAAAATCAAGATCAGGTCCTGACACTAGCTTGCTATGCAAGAAAATTATAAAAGGTAACAATCATAGACACCCTATAGTCAGAGAATACAGAGTAAAGTAATAGGCAGAAAAGTTTAAAAGGACAAACACATCTTAATTTACAATACCACACACATGCACAATTATTATATTATGTCCATATATTCACAACTCTGTGAGTATCATAGTCCTGCCTTCCTGCAGGTCCTTCTACTCTGGCTTTTGTTTCTTCTCCTACCAGTCTCCCTGTTTCTGCATGCTCCTATCTGGGCTTCAGGCATTCTTTGCCTATGTCTTATTTTCAAAGACCAACTTATTTAATGCTAGATAAAAGGCAGCACAGTGGTATGGTTAAGTCTGACTGTTTCAAACTTTAATGTTTGGATACCTCCCAATACACTGCAACAGCAAACTATAGTACCCAGAAAAAAAACATGTGAGCAAAGTAAGAGCATACAAACTCCACACAGAAGGTACCCTTTTCTGGGATCCGAAACCCAAGAAGCAAATATAGGGCAAATGAGGCAAAAAGCACTAACTGCCATGCCACTGTGCTATACTGCAAAGAGGTACAGCAAAAGTATAGAAAAGGAAAAAAAATAGAAAATGTATCAAGTCACATAAATTCTGCAATGTTCCTATTCCTAAAAAAACATAACATGGTTTGCCTTCTACCTCAATATGAATGCTGTAAAACATGACAGTACCTAATCATTACAGATCCCATCTAGCACAAAGATTGATTTTTCCTTCATTAGGTTTATAATTAATGTTTATTCAGTTCTAGTATTAAATGTTCTCAATTTCAATTATTTACTCTGTTCCATTAGCTAATTTCAGGCACATTATTTTGTGGGGGGTTCTAGTCTTTCACTTTTATCTCTGTACCAATTAACAAAGAATGTAGTACATTCTAATACCTTCATTGATGCATTTCACACCAGAGCAGTTTTTGATGCAAACAATTTTTGAAACAGATTTAATCAAAAATAATCTTAGCAAATGAATCTCAGCGAGTGCCACGTTGATTAGCACTGCTGCCTTACACCTTGCTGGCTCTAGGTTCAATTCTGGACTTCACTGATGACTTTGCATGCCCCCCATCCTTTTCTGTTTCCCCTGGGTGTTCTAATTTACTCTCCCAAAACACATTCAGGCAGGGATAACTGGTGTCTCTTTTTCATGTGTCATCTGTTTATGTGTGTGATGAATGGTTAGGCTACCAGAACTTACTCATTAGCCTCTAGGTACGGCATGTTTTCTGCATTAGTAAACATAAGTTCTTAAATACACCATGATTGTACAAAAACACCTTGATCAGCAGCTAGTAAAAATAATTATATACAGCCATTCCTCTCCGGAAAACACTCAAATTTTGCTGTTAATATTTGGTTTTCGCTACAAAAAAGGCACTTCCTTTCATACCCACGTCCCTAGCTTAGTGCTTTTTATGACCTAGCACTCTCCTTATTTTTAGTATCACATTGGCAAACACGTTGCTGGACTTCAGGTGTCTCCAACAAAGAAAAGAGGGAATTTCCCCTGGGAGTAAAACGTGACAAAAAATATTTTATTTTTTCATGTAAAACATGAATTTCATTATTTTACTGTTGCAGTAAAACTGTTTTTTTGTATTTTTAAAAAAACAGAATAACATCTATTTGAAGTAGGTGAGTTATTGGTCATAGATCACTGTTTCTGTTTACATGTTCTTCCTTTGCTAAAAAATCATAGCAAATGTTCAGAAAACAAGAACTGAAGTCTATGAGTGTTAATTTGGGAGTTAAAAGCAATTCAGAGACTGTAACAATAATGGAGCAGTAGTCTTCCTGTATACTTATAGCTTAAGTTACCTATTCGTTAAAATAGTATAATAACAGTGTTTATCAAACCATCTGTTCAAGTCAATACCCTCTTTCCCCAATGTACTCAAGAGAATTCGGTGTGTTCACAAAAGGTGAAGCCAAAACTGACAGAAAAGATGTTTTAATTTTTATGTCAGGACAGTAAATCTCCCATATTTTTACACTAAATCAAACATAAAGCAGCTTATATTCTACAATAACAACACTAGACCCAGATTCAAATGTCAGTATGAAGTAAAATACCCAAGAGTTACTGGATTCCCACAAGGCTGGCATGCTGGAGTATGTAAGCATCTGTCATCCCATGTATAGTCTCTAAACGGTTTCATTTTGCATCATTAATCTTGTTTTCCATCCATATGTTCAATTTAATGTCACCTGTTTCATTATTATTGCTCTGAAGAGGTGATGGTTTAAAACTAGAGCTGCACTTCTGATGTGTTGAACCTTAATGCAATCATTTCTGTCAGTCACACCCGTTCCCAATCATTGTTGTCAGCTACATCTGCTTGTTAACATCTCCATCAGCTCAATTTTTTTTTACTGACAACACAAGCAAAGAAAGATCTGAAAGAACTGCCCTCAGATCAAATCAAAGACATTATGCCTCAGGTAAAGCTATTATTAATATTAATTTTAAAGCATTTAATCAACAGATTCATACATTTTAATAACTTTGAACCACATAAGTGAAAAA